CAACAAAATATGGCGACTTGTGGTAGATTACCGCAAAGTCAATGAAAAAACTGTTAGTGATAGATACCCCATTCCAAATATTACCGATATTTTAGACAAGTTAGGTCGATCACAATATTTCAGATAGAGATGTCTCAATACTAATAACGGACATTGCGAATACCTTAGAATGCCCTTCGGACTTAAAAACGCACCCGCTACCTTCCAGAGAGTCATGGACAATGTTCTCAAAGATCTGCAAAACAAAATTTGCCTCGTCTATATGGACGATATTGTAATTTTCAGTACCTCCCTTCAGGCACACATACAAAATTTAGTATTTGAAGCTTTAAGAAAAGCAAATTTGAAAGTTCAGTTAGACAAATCGGAATTCTTAAAACGAGAGACCACATTTTTAGGACATGTTATTACCCCTTCAGGAATAAAACCAAACCCGGATAAAATAAAATCAATTCAAAATTTTCCCGTTCCTAAAACAGCCAGACATTAAATCATCTCGGACTAGTAGGCTTTTATCGTAAATTCATAAACAATTTTGCAAAAATAACGAAACCACTCACTCGATGTTTAAAAAAAGGAAACAAAATTGAACATTCACCAGAATTTTTAGAAGCAGTAAATTTATGTAAAAACATTTTATCAAATGAACCACTTTTAACTTTTCCAGATTTTTCAAAAACTTTCGTATTAACTACGAACGCATCCAATTTCGCGATCGGAGCAGTCCTATCTCAAAACGGTCATCCAATTTCTTACGCGAGTAGAACATTAAACCCGGCAGAAATAAATTACTCGGCGATAGAGAAAGAATTACTAGCAATCGTTTGGGCAACCAAATATTTTAGGCCTTACTTATACGGTAGAAAATTTATAATTAATACGGATCATAAACCTCTTCAGTGGCTCTTCTCACTAAAAGACCCTCAGTCTAGATTAGTCCGTTGGAGACTAAAATTAGAAGAATTCGAATATGAAGTAAAATATACTTATTAAAGGAAAAGAGAATAATGTAGCAGACGCTTTGTCCAGATTTCCCCCAGACATTAACATTCACCAACTTCAACCCTCAACTTCCCAAGCCTCAGACTTACCTATTTTAGATGAAACACTTTCCATGCTAGTTAATATAGACAGACCGAATACACCAATAGACGAAGAACTACTTAACGACATTTTAGGACAACTTCCTGAACCTTCTCCTCCAGTATTACACATTCCTGAACCGTCTCCTCCAGTATTACATATTCCTGAACCCAAAGATAACGAGACTATACACACTTCAATAGAAAACCCAGTAGCCGAATTACCCATAACCGAGCAACCCATAAATCATTTTAAGCATCAGATATCCATCGCATTAAACCAAAACCTTGTCCAACCTTATTGGCATAGACAAACTAGACCATTCGATAACAATTCTATCTTTATATTATTTAATCCTCAACTTTCTGATGAAAGTAAAGCAAAATTATTACGGAACTTTTTAAAACCAAAAGAAATAAATTGCCTTTATTTTTATGACCAAAAAGCAAGACAATGTTTCGAACGACTGATACCAAAATTCTTTAATAATACAATTAAATTCAGAATTTCAACATTAAAAGCTCAAGACGTAGAAAAATTAGAATCCCAAATTAGATTAATAATAAAACAACATGAAGTAAATACAGTACATAGAGGTATTGATACTATTTATAACTCCTTGTCAAAAACTCATTACTGGCCTAACATGAAAGAAGCTATAACCACCTATGTTAATAACTGCGAAACATGTAATCGTGCTAAATATGACAGACACCCACAAAACCCACCGATCCAAAAGACAGAGACCTCTAAAACCATTTGACGTTATACATATAGACATCCTATTCTTTGACAAGAACCAATTCTTAACAGTTTTTGACGCTTTTTCAAAATTAGGACAAGCATATCCTATCCCTAGTAGAAATGCTATAACAACGACTAATACTATCCTTAACTACATCTCTCACTATTGAAAACCAGCCAAAATAATTTGTGATGAAGGTAGTGAATTTAACAATAGAATATTTACGGAATTCTGCCAGCTACATAAAATAAATTTACATTTCACTAGTATTGGTAACTCAAATTCTAACAGCCCTGTCGAACGTTTTCATTCAATGATCCTAGACTCCATCAGAGCCTTAAAATTAGACAACCCTACATTAAATCAAGAAACCTTAATTAAATTAGCAACCATTGGATATAATAATTCTATACATTCGGCAACTCAAAGAACTCCCCTTGAAATAATATTAGGATCTCCCCAAAACATAGAAATAGACGAAAAGGTAATTACCACAAATTTCATAGAAAAACAGAAACAAATCTATTCCAAATTATATCAGGACGTACAAAATAAAGTCGAGGCAACCAAACAAAAAACATTAGAGTAAACAAAAATAAAACCGAACCAGAAAAGGTTAAAATTTTGCAAAATGTACTGATAAAGGACAATTTAGCGAACAGACAAAAGACAAAACCCAAATTCAAAAAAGCCATAGCCATAAATAATAACGGTCCAACCATTCAAACAAAACAAGGAAAAATTCACAAAAAACATATTAAGAAATCAAAAACCTCACATACTTCTCCTCTGTTACAGGATGAAGAATTCACTGATAGTGATGATAATATTCCTCTGGCACAGTTATTCCCAAATAATTGAATTACAAAATCCTATACTCCTCATTAATCTAGGAAAAGCAAAAGTTAGCACACATTCACATAATCTCGTACAAATAATAAATTTACAAAATTTATCAAACATAATTCAGAATTTTTCTCGAGAAATACAAACTCAAGGGAACCAGTCTATTACACAATTCGAGCCTCTAATAAAAAACATTAACAATAAATTATCAACCCTTTTTTATATAAACCACAGAAAACGAGGATTACTAAACTTTATCGGTACAGGATATAATGAACTTTTTGGCCTCATGGACAATAATGATAGAGAACAGATAGAGAAAAATTAAAAATCTTAGAAAGTAATCAATTTAACCTTCAAACGTAACAAAAGGAACAGTTGATTTATCTAACTACCCTACCATCAAAATTAAATAATACTTTAGAACAAATTTATCCTAAAGAATCTATAATTAAAGGTCCACTGAGTGATTACTATAAATTAGCCTCTATCAAAACGCGTACTAAAAATTTTAAAGTATATATCAACTTTCAAAATTCCCATATTCCAAATACAAACCTATGACTATTTCCAAGTTTTACCCATACCAAAGTTTGCTCATTCCTATTTCAACTTACTTACTTAAGAACAAACAAGAAGTAAATATCAAATTAATTTGGAAAATATACAGCTAGATGAATTGAGTAGTTTAGCGGAGAGTATATCCAAATTTAAAATCCAACCTCTAGAACTGTTTGATCCAGAATTTAACCAGAAACCACATTATCTCACATTTATATTATCTTGGGTATAATTTTAATAATAATAATATACTACATTTTTAAGAAGAGAGCCTCGGTTATTAAAATAATAACGCCTAAAATCTTCACAAGAAGTTCGAAGTAGAATGACTCCAATAAAGAAGTCCCAGAAACCTCTGGAAAAAATAAGTAATTTAAGGACTGGAATCATGCTTGAATCAATGATTTCCAAGTCACCACACGAGGAGCAGTGACTCTCTGCTGACTCCTTTTTACCTACCGTGTATTGAGCATCTACAAGAAGCACCCCTGAGCCCAGGTATCAGATGAGGACTTCGCCATCCCAGATGACTCAACCCCCAAAGGACTGACTATAGCCCACTAGGACACTGGTCGCTCCATCCCCTGTACCTCCCTCTACGACGGGAGGAATTATATATATATTATTTTTATATTCATATTTTATTTTCAGAATCATTAATTTCTCTGCTGTAATAACTAGATACAAAAGTCAACTTCCTTATCTTTTGCTGAGAATGCTTTTATTTTATTATATAAGAGATCTGCTTTGCTTATTCCATTCAGTGTGAAATTAAACTTGTAATTGTGAACTTGCTTCTTGTTGATTTATATATCATTTTTTAAAGTGATTTTTATTATTTTAACACCTGTTCGGCGACGAGATAATTAATTTACTGTACAAAAATAGTTTTGTGTATAAAATAGGGTCAAACAATGAGACAGTTTTGTTTGTATTTTTTCCGTACAATTGAATGGTGTAATCAGTTTTTGATTTTTTTAAAATTTAAACAAATTATCAACCATTACTGAAAACTTCATTGCTGCAAGTCATTTTTTACATTTTTGAGCATGTTTTTGAACTGTGATTACAAATTTTTTTATTTCACCAAAAAGTATAATATGTCAAAACGAAAAAAATGATTACCGGCAGAAATCTGTACGATGATTTTTTTAAGTAGAAAAAAATTTGAGGTTATTTAAGACATAGAAAGGTATACTTTCACCAAATTTCGTCAAAATTGAATTATTTTCGCGGAAATGAGAAATAAAAAACGAAAAATCAGAGAAAAACCTGTTTTTCGCATTTTTCTCGGAAATTTTGAGGTTATGTTAAAAAATGACCTCTACAAAAGTAGTAGATTTTTGCATGATCGACGACTTTTGTATTGGATACTTTTTTGTTTGAGGTCAACTTTCGCCAGAAATCCCAACGATACAATTTTTCATAACTTATCCACCACCCCCCAAATCAACCCTCCGCCGCCCCTGCTCACACATTTATTTTTTTTTCGTTTATTATAAGCCCCTTTACCATTTCCACTTATAAAAGTCCAGGTAACAATTTTTTTTTACCCTCTAAATGAGTTAATCTGATCGGTCTATCAGTATTAGATATGCCATTAATTTTTACATCAAATGAATATGTTGATATGTTACTTATTTATGGCGAGTGTCGAAAGAATTCCAAAGCGATGATGTGTCCTGCATAATTTGTAATATAAATTGTAATTAATCCTCCTATCTATAAAATTATTAATTAGTTTATATTTTTCTTTTTCTTTTAGAGCTGCTTTGGAAGGTCGAAACTGTCGCATTACAGTAGTTCTCATTCAGCACACGCTCTCACTTCCAGCAGGTGAGGATGTTTTAGCTTCTGAGAAGGCAATAACATTATGTTCCAGTTGTGAATTAAACTCGCAGTCATTATTTGTTTTACCACATGGAGATCATCTACAGGGTTACACTATTCGACTAGAAAATGCTTTCTATGAATTTTCCCAAACTTATTACCACAATGAAGTGAAAAATATAAAGTCACATAAAGAACATTTAAATAAAAATGCACATCATTATTTGTACATTAGGCATCAATTCAAGATGGGATTTTTGAATGAGTTGAAGCATGATATTCATACGGCTCACAAGTAATGTGAAATAAAAAATTATTTTACATGGTAAATTCTTTTATTTTTTAGACACTACACTCATGCATATAATAATTTATTGGAAGTTAGAATTGTAGACACCAATGCTTCGGAAATTCGAACAGTTGCTGGCTTCATTAACTATAAACTTTGCAGGTTAATGTTTGCTTTAAATCTGCCACGAGATGCTATATCACAATTTAAAGCTCATATTGATAGATTCAAAAACAGAATGGGATTTCAAGAATTGGCATTTGAACACTATGCTTGGCTTTCTAAACAGTAAGTTTGTCATAGTAAAATATGTCGCTACATAATTCATCAATAAAGTCTACATCATATGAACTTTTTATTATCTTTGAAAAAACAGTGCTATAAGGATATAAAAAAATCACAGATAATTCTATTCATTAAATATTAGAGAAATGCTGCTCATGGCTTGGGAAGTCACGTTCTTTCATGCATGTTTTATAAATTCTCAATGCTGCTTGAATCATTTATGAGCATCTAGGTCACTCATAAGTGCTGGAGTAATGCAGCAATGTGTACTACTTTATTCAAGCACTAATAAAAAAATGATAATAAAAATTATAGTATTTAGCATGTTTATTTTATTATTCCTTCCTAGAAATTACAATTTCAAAAGAATGAATTATTATAATTATTTTCAAAACTCCAAAACAATCTTAATTTATTGAAAAGACACCTAAATATTTTTAAGTTTTCAAAATTTGTATTCACACTATTCACTTCACTTTTGAAATTGATACCCACTCACTACCAATTACAAGGTTACTCAGCAGGCCTATATTTCCAGCCTTTAGATTATAATTATATATTTTATGTAAAAGTCCATATTTTCAAGCCCCCTTTATATTTATTCATATTTTATAGGACTACTTCATAAACTTTTCACGTTTCAATTCTCTACTTTGTTAATCACTAATGTTTAATAAAATATAACCATTATTTGTCGTTTTTGGTTGGTCATTAAATACACCTAATAATGTTACCTTTATCATCGTGGTATACTTTAGGCAGTAAAGACAACCTTTAACTGATTTTTTTTGGGATAAAGTTTAGTTTTAGACAAGATTTAATGACAAAATTTGAATACGACGCATTTTGTGTAAAATGTCAAAATTGAATGTTTTAACAGAGAACACTATACCAACGAGAAGCGACAGCAAGGCTTTCTTCGTTAACAGTTTTCGTACGCGCATGCGCGAACTGGGTTGTGTTGCTATCAGCTGTCAACGGCTGTCAGAGCCGCCAAATATAAATAGAAGAAATCAGTAATTAGTAAATAGTCTTTTTGGCGGTGGACAGTTGTGTTGTATAACATTAATTGATAGTGGATTTATTTGTATTGTATTTCGTTTTCATTTAGGATCAACTTGAAATCAGTAAAATGTCTGGTTATTATTGTGCTTTTTGCTGTCGTTCATCTAAAACTGGTGAAGGATTAAACCCTTTTAGATTCCCTAAGGATTACGAAAGGCGAATGTAGCACAAAATAATTCTAACAATAAAATGTGTTTTAAGATAGATATGCATTTTTAACAGTACCTAGTTTATGCGAATTTAACCAATTTATATTTTATTGCATTGAGGACAGGTTTCCCCTCTTAGGGCTACCCTGTTTTACAATAAAACATGTAAAACTATGTCTCAAATGTAAATATAAATGAATTATGTCTTTTAACTCATACAAAATCTGTATAATTTTTAGCTGCATATTAGTCTGTAAAATGGTTTAAAAAGGGTTAAATCATGTCATATCATTATTATTATCATATTAAGAAAATATAAAACAAATAATTAGGAAAATAGTATAGGCAGATATAAAAGGCTACCTTTTTTTTCTGACATTTTAAATAACGCCAAAAGAATAAATCTATATACCACTGAATTATCTACAATTTACTATTTAATGGACTTTCTGTCTTCTTTAGCTTCTAATATTTCAATACATTTTATCACTAATTCTGGACACTGTATCTAGGTATATAAAACAATGCTATGAAAACCGTTGCGATGATGTTATATTTTATCACAGTTCAGTGTATATCTATTCAAAGGTATAACTTCTCTCAGTGTAAACGATTGTGTTTCCTTCATATTGGTCGTGACCACAAAACATCAAAGGAGGCCGCCGATTTTGTTGCTTCTCGTTGGTATTGGTTTTTAGTATAACTTGATTGAGTCACCAAAAAAAACTGGGGTAATATGTTATGTTACCTGGTTTTACTTGACAGGAGCACTAATCAAGCATTTCCTGACTCATATTTATAACTTATATTTTAGGACTTTTGTCACATATGTAAAGTTTGGCTTATGCGTTTGAAGACACTTCTATGCAGGGTAGTTTAGGATACGTTGACCAAACTTAAAATTTAAATTTGGATGACCAAAATAAATTAAATTTGACAAACATTCACAAGGATTTATCTAATTAAAAATAAAAGTTCATTGAATTCTGATCAATTTTTTTAAGCACTGAATGAAGAACGAACATGTTTTATGTACAAGGTGTTTCGATAATAGTTAAGGAAAAGGAAGGGTGCGATTCTTTGGCACATTTTAAGTAAAAAAGTTCATATTAAAATCGTTCTTGAAATAATAGGGTGACAAAAAATAGTTTTTTTTCTCAGTTTTTTGGATATATTAGGAACCGTTTGAGATACATAACTTAAATTTTGTACATGTATTATCATCAATATTAGCTACTTTTGATCTCTATTCAATTTTATTCATATGACAGTGGCGGAGATCTTAGGATTGCGTGAGGTTCTTTTTCCCTTAATTTTTACATCCTCAGGAAAATCCTCTAACACGAACTGTATTCAAGATAAATGGCGTTATATGATGGAAAACATGAAAGAAAGTGGCACCCTATTTCTCGAAAACGGACCCATATTAATAAGAACTTTTTTTACTTAAAATGTGCCAAAGAATCACACTCTTCATTTTCCTCAACTATTTTCGAAACACCTTGTATTATAGAATATTGTCATCCTCTCAGCACCCAATTGAAAAAATTCTTCATTATTAGGAACTACTCTTTGGAACTACTCATTATTAGGAACTACTAGGATTATTAGAATAAATAGTAATAACCGGTCAATTAAAAGTCGGTAACTACCGGTTACATTATTTGGTCATATTTATTCATTCATTTTAAAATTTCAAAAATTATATTTCATTGAACGGATGTTTTGTTTTGCTTTGCTTATTGTACTTTTCTAAAGTTTTTGCTTACTTTATAACATAAACTGCTTTCTCATTCTGGTTGCATTTCCTGCTACTAATTTTTAGAAAAATTGGATTGTGCATGCATAATGGCCAAAATTATTATTTAAAAAATTTATTATTAAGTATAAATTATAATTTTAATAGAATTATTGAAATATAGGGGTAATTTTAAATATTTGATGGTCATTTTCAAATGCAAATAGTCACTTATGGTCATTGACTACCATAATTATTTTTTGGAAAATTTTGTTAAATGTAACAAAATTTTATTCATAGTTATTTTATTTTTCATATGCATGCTACTATTATGATCTTCACGTTCTAGTTTTGTATATTACAAATTACTTTTTAATCAACCATAATTGACACCTTTGGTTGGGACGGTCTGGTGACAGACACCTTCTATTAAAGTGTAGGCTATGTAGGTTCAGTGTAAGAATAGACATATTATCTAAACTTTGCCCTCAACATCTTCTGTGTACAAATAAAGTCATCCTCGTCCTCGTCCTCGTCCTCGTCGTCCTCGTCCTCGTCGTTCTCGTCCTCGTCGTCGTCCTCGTCCTCGTCGTCGTCCTCGTCGTCGTCGTCGTCGTCCTTATCCTCGTCCTCGTCCTCGTCCTCCTCGTCGTCGTCGTCGCCCTCGTCCTCGTCGTCGCCCTCGTCCTCGTCGTCGCCCTCGTCCTCGTCGTCGCCCTCGTC